TAAAAATAAGTCTGCTTTTTATTTTCACTGTCCATGTGCAATTCTAAATAATATCAGTGATCAAATACTCCTCTCTTCTGGGGTGGGCCCCTCTGCCCACCGCTTGGCACACTACTGAGAGTCAGGAGATGTGGTTTCATGTCCAAGCTCCACTGTCAGGGCTGGCTCCCTGGCCAAACCACCAAGTCACTTCCCTTTGCCTCTGTTTCTTTTCTGTGAAATGGAACTATGAAGGATACCTGCAAATATTAAAAGAGAGAATAAATATAAAATTAGCTTATAAAGAGAAAAGCTGCATATAAATGTAGTATCCACATTTTTATACAAAATCTAAATGGTATGAGATCTGGGTCATCTTCAGGTTATTTTTCTTTGGCAGTGAAGAATTTGGGGGTGATCAAGCCAGGCTCTTCCATGAAGTTGAGGAGCTGGTGTTGGAGAGGTAACACTGTTTCTGGCACTTAGAAACTGTTCTAGGTTTATGCCTTTTCATCTGATTCTTGGGGAGACAATAGGGCACCCTCCTGGGGTGCCACCCTGGGCCCTGCTGAGTTGCTGAACGAGGCCCATCTGTCTCACTGTCTAGGCAGGTTGCTCCATCTTCCTGGGGTGCTGAATGAGTGAGGAGCCGAGCCCTCTGCCTGGAAAGAGGGGTGTGTTCCTGACTTAATTGCGGGAGAATGTGCTGGCAGAAGTACGGAGACTAGTTTGTGTCTGGTGGATTGCCTGTCCATCACTAAACCATGCTCTGTGACTTCTGCAACACACACACACACACACACACACACACACCGCCCCATGCCTCCTGCCCTTCTACAGTGCTAGATGGTAAAGGCCTTTCTCAGGCATTGTTAGGATTTCCCCTGTGACATGGGGCCTCCCGCTTGACAAGGAAGGAAATTGAAGCCCAGGGAGTTGAACAGGCTGCCCCAGGTCAGGGTAGGGCTCTGACTGGAACCCACAGGGAGAATGAAGGGAAAGTCTTGTACTTCTGTTCAGTTTGTCGTGGGCTCTTTGGAGCTTTCTGACAGAAGCTTTCTGAGGGGAGACCCATCCCGTGAGGCTCTGATGGCAGGACCAGGAATTGATCAGCCTGACTGCCAGCCCTTTGCTGCATGAGACCATGGGTTGGGTATGGACTGTTTGCAGTGTGGGGTGGGGCGGGGCAGGAGGATTGCAACGTGCACGCTTTGCACATGTGTGTCAATGTTTCAGCATTCCCATAATTTCTGATTTAGTATTGGCAATGACTTTCATTAGAGATTGGGTTCCCGCTCTGGATGGCACCCTGGGTGGCTCTGTCCTAACCTAGAGAGGCCCTCACTGCCTACCCCTTGCCTCCATAGCCTAGCTGGGCAACTTCTGCACTGTGTGCCTGAACCCCTGGCTTTGGAGCATCCTAATGGGCAGATGGGGGCCCATCCGTGGGTCAACAGAGCATAATAGAGAGTCGCCTCAGCTCTGATTTTTTTTTTCTATCTCAGCTCTGATTTTTGCATTTGCTGTGGATACAGTAACCAGGACGTGCCCGAATGTAAACTTCCACTCCTGGTACCCCCAAAGCCTAGGGTCATCTTCTGTCTTGATTTGGAACAGTTCAACGCCAGACCCGTCAAGCAGAAACTGTCCGGGTGGGAGAGACAACACTCCCCCTCCGCCTTCCCGTACTCCCCATCCTCCTTCCCTCGAATGTCAGATCAAAGAACTAAGGGAGAGGGTAATATATGAATACTGAAAAAGACAAGGCATAAAATGAGTGACAGCAGTACAATTTCTTCTCTGTAAAATGCAGAGAATCAGAAGACTGTTGTACCCGGTGCACAGCAGTCACCTGGGAGGTTTTTAAATAGCTCAGTTCCCTGGACGGCAGCCCACCCAGACCCAGGAGATGGGAATCTTTGGGGATAGATGCAGGCAGCCAGGTTTGAAATCCCCTGGGTGATTCCGGTGTACAGCCAGTTGAGAACCATTGCTTGAAGGGTTAAAAGAGTTGGTTAACTGCTTAGGACAAAGATATGGCTGTGCACTACAATCATAAGGACTTTTAAAATGACACTGATTCCCTGGCCACATAGTACACACCACGTAAATCAGTGGCTTCTGTGGTGTCTCTAGCTTGGCCTTCCTAGGAGCAATAAACTAGTAAGAGAATAGCTATCATTCCTTAGAGCTGACCGTGGGCCAGCATTGCAGATATTTCCAGTCACCACGATTCCCTAGTAGGGAGTCATGATTCCCATTTTACAGATGAGGAAACCGATGCTCAGAGAGGGTAGCCACTTGCCCCAGGTGACAGCGTAAGTTTTCTGAGTCCAAGCCTGTTTGCCCTGGAAGGCTGCTTTTGCTGCCCAAAGCCTCGCAGCCTAGGGGCTGGCCCTCATGGAGCATATTCTCCCCTCTTCCCAGTAAGGGCACAACAAGAAGGGCAAACTCATCAATGGCCCAGGCTCTCCATGGGCTCCCCTTGGGCTCCCCAGGGCAGGTTGAGTGGAGGATCCCCCCCCCCCAGGAAGAGAGGGGAGATGAGTGGTGTTGCTTGGTATTTGGCTTTGTTATTCACCCACTCTCAAAATACCTGCTTTTGGTGGGAGGAGATGGCCTGTATATTAGGACTGACCCCCCAGCCACCTCTCATTACCACGGTTGCTCTCACAAGGAGGAAACTCAACCAGGAAAAGCAAACACTCATTTGCTTTTTTGAGACTTTGAGGAATTTTTAAATCATGTGATATAGAAAAAGGCCTCTGTTTCCCTCATAAGTCAAAGTGGGGAGGGGGCTATCTCAAGGGGACTTGAAATGTTTCTCTCTGCTTTACAAAAACTCTGCGCCTGCATGTCTGTGTTCTGTAAGCTTAAACAAAATGCTTAAAATCCTTAAGCTTTGGTTTCCCCCTCAGTCAGCTAGAAAGAGTGAGCCCTGTCTGCTCTTAGGGCTGCTGATGCCAGGCCCCTGAGATGTCAGAGAAAAGAAAAACATGGCCGTCCTGACATTGAGACTCACAGTTGCCTGGGACTGGAAGCTGAAAGTCAGGTGTTTGCTGTCTCCCACTAAGGGACCCAATGTCCCTGAGGCCCAAAGTAGCTCCAAGGGACCAGCGGTGTTAGAGATCTCACTAACCGTGTTCACTTTGGCTTTGAGAGGCCTGGCTTCACTCCACCTGCGTCATCCCCTCATGTGTAGACAGCTAGGAGCCAATATTCAGGTCGTAAATAGCTGAAACTGTAGACTTAGTAGACAATGTAATATAAATTTGGTTCCATAAAGCCATCGCTGTCCAGCCTATACCAGCCCCCAGGATCTTTCTTCTCTTTCCCCAGAGCTTCCCTTATACCTGTTGCCTGTGCCTTTGGTCCCTGCCCCTTATGCCCCGGTACAGAGCCTGGCACAGAGCAGACACTCAGGCAGCGCTGAGTGAATGGAGGATGAAGGGATGGAGAGATACGGGAATATGTGTCTGGTGACGTCTCTAAGGTGCTTGCCATAGAATGCTATTTAAGTGTTGGCATGTCTATTCCTTGCTTGCTCTACTTGACTTTTTTTTTTTTTTCCACTTAGGTTTATTTTGAAGGCTGTCTCACTGAGGATTATTCTAGGAATGGAGTGGTTCAGATGTGATGCTATTTTCTGAGGTTGAGGCAAATATCTGGAGAATTTCATTGTGTGTAACTCTTACCCCAGAGCCACTAAGAGAGTACATCCTGTGTGTGGAATATGGTGCTCCCTTATTAAGCCATTAAGCCGAACCTGAGAACTTTCTGAGTTCTGTCTTAAGCCGTGGCTATTGTGGGTGAGAAAACATGGGGCACTTGTGGAAAATGATGGAAGAGGGGTGGGAGGACCCCAGAAGGGGGGGACCACTGGGCAGTCTCCAGGGACTTCGAGCTGCCCACCCACCCTGCCCACCTGAACTGAGATGGTGAACAGAAGGCTGCTGCCCTTCCCGGTGGAGTGGGCTGTCCTTGGAGCACTCAGAGAAGCTGGCTCAGGGCCACCTGCCATTGGCATGGATGCCATTTCATGGTTGCTGTATTGGTCCCCAGAGTGAAGCATTTCTAGGCTCAAACCTGAAGGGCACGAAGCACAATCTTGACTTCTATAACTACTTAGTGGCTTTGTGGACACTGGGCTGAGCAAAGGGCTTGGCCATTAACTCTGTGTTGACCTCACACTTGTCACTTGACCTCTCCTGTGCGTCAGTTTTCTAACACTTTACAACCCTGTGGTCCCATTGGCCCTCTCACCATGACAAACTCCCACTTATGGTTATTAACAATGTCAGACTGCCTCCACCCACCCCTGCCTCCACCCGTACCCCACCAACCCAGCCAGCATGTCCTCTGGCCTTGTTGTTACTTTAAGTGCATCACCCTCATCTTTGCTCTGTTCCCTTACTGAGGACCTGCTTCACTCAGGTCATTGAGATTTTATTTGTTGGGAGGAGGTTGGGAGCAAAGGTACAAACATAAGAATATAGGGAATATAGAGAAATCACACTTAAATGGATGAATTTGTACTTGTATCCAGATAAGGCAGACCCAAATGAATAACCGTTACCACTAGTATTTTGACCATGCCGATCTGATCTTTATGTTTTTCCTTTTTAATCTTTACATTACATAGTACAAGTCTCTGGACCCTGTGATTTTACCTAGTGGATACTGGACTTGGGTTCTAACTGAGACTTAGGAACGATGAGGCTGTGTCATCATCGTCAAATCAATAACCTTTCAGAGCCTCAGTGGTCACATCGGTACCCTGGAAATGACAGTACTAACCTTCATTCCTAGTAAAGGGGGAGGATTCATATGAAAAAAGGGAAGCCCAGGACCTGCCCCATCTCAGCCACGGGTTAACAGGCAGGGGGGATGCTGGCTGGTGGCGTGACTTGTCCTACCCTCGTAGAATGACTCTGAATTAGTGTGGCCTGGGGGCTGACAACTGGGTCACTTCCTAGATGGACACAGTAACACCCCGATTGTGCCGATCTGTGTCCCCACAGCGGCCAGTTTGCCATTGTGAAGAAGTGCCGAGAGAAAAGCACGGGTCTGGAGTACGCGGCCAAGTTCATCAAAAAGCGGCAGAGCCGGGCCAGCCGGCGCGGCGTGTGCCGGGAGGAGATTGAGCGGGAAGTGAGCATCCTGCGGCAGGTGCTGCACCCCAACGTCATCACGCTGCACGACGTCTTTGAGAACCGCACCGACGTGGTGCTCATCCTTGAGCTGTGAGTGGGTGCTCGGGACCCCTGGCGGGCAGCTAGGGTGGTGGATGGTGCAACCACACCCCCCAAAGTGCAGCAGCAAGCAAACCTAAGATCAGCCCAGAGGCAATGAAGTCAGCGGCGGGTGGTTTCCCTTGGTTACCGACCCCCCCCCCCCGCCCCCGGCCCCGCAACCTGGGTCAAAGGGAGGTTGGGTTTGCTGAGTAGCAGGGACAGAGAGCTAGGGTCTAGGTCTGGCTTTCACTGGACCCTGGGGATAAAAGGGAAGCAATGGCTGGTGCTGGGGTCGTTTCCTGGCTGGAGAGCATGTGGGAGGACGGTGGGGGGCGGGGTGTAAGAAGGGGGTGGGAGGGGCGCCTGGGTGGCTCAGTTGGTTAAGCGACTGCCTTCGGCTCAGGTCATGATCCTGGAGTCCTGGGATCGAGTCCCGCATCGGGCTCCCTGCTCGGCAGGGAGTCTGCTTCTCCCTCTGACCCTCTTCCCTCTCGTGCTATCTCTCATTCTCTCTCAAATAAATAAATAAAATCTTTAAAAAAAAAAAAAAAAGAAGGCGGTGGGAGGGAAGGAGAGGCTGTCGGGGAGGGGTCTTCTCTATGAGGAGGAGAGAAGCATACATCTTCCAGGCTCTGCAAAGCCCTTCTCCAGCGCTTTCCTAGGAAAAAAAAAAAATCCCCGCATTTGTGCTCTTTGATGCCTTCATTATCATAATAATAGATATAATTGAGAGAGCCCTACTGTAAGCCAACCATTTGTCAGGTGCTTCATGTTTGCCATCTGGTTCAGTCCTCACGGAGACTCCTGAGGAAAGTGTCCTATTAACATGGAGGGGTTCCTTTGTATTCACTGTACTGAGCACTTCTGTTACCTTACTTAATCTTCCTAACAATCTTCTCACACAGAGGTTCTTATTATCTCCATTTTACAGACAAGAACTTGAGTCCACACAAGCAGCTATGAGCATGAGGTGGCCTTATGCTGGCCTAGCCAGGGAAGATGTCACAGTCTGGTGATACCAAGACTACAGGGGTTGGCCACCTCTTGGTGTCCCTCCTGGAGGTGTGTCCATGGAATGGGGAGATGGGGCTCTGGCAGACAACAGAGTTTGAGTTGGACTGTGGCACAAGTCACAATGGCTGTGTCCAGTCAAGCAGCAAGACCGGTGTTGGGAATGTTCTGAGCCTCAGAGGCATGCGTGCATCTGCTGGTTAACAGAGGGGTGGTGGCATTTGTTTGGTAATCCCTGACTTTGTGACCTTGGGCAAGTCACCTCCCTCCTTTGAGCTTCAGCTCTCATCTGTCCATGCGGCGGCCATCCTCAGCCTGCCTACAGGTTGGGTGGACCACCTGACATTTGAAATAATTCTAATTTGAGAGCTAAGCCCTTGTCTTACCAGGATATATAGATTTATGTAGCAGATGGGCATTTGCATACTCTTGCATTTGATGCTTAAATTATCCATCTCACTGTTTAAATGCATAGGCCCACCCGTGCTATTCCTTTCTCACTCCAGTGTCTTCCACGTCTCTCCCATGGACCTCTCAGTCAGTTGCACTAGTTGGCGTAGACACTGCCTGACTCAGCAAGCCTGGGGGCGTCCCCCAGGTGTGGTCAGCCATGTGGACAGCCCAAGGTGTGGCATGCCGTGGGGCTCAGGGTCAGCAGTGGGCACACTAGTTCCCAGCAGAGTGACAAGCCCACCTCTCCTGGGAAGGCGAGGCCACTGCCTTAAAAAACTTTCCAGCAACTGAAAAGAAATTACATTCATAATCCTACCACCCAAACAAAACACCCATTTGTGTTTTCTGTGGTTCCTCTCAGTCTTATCCATTTGTATACAATCATTGCACTTGTACAATTTCTTGCTCTACTTCTCCCCCCTCAGTTAGCTAATTTCACAAAAAGGTTTTTTCTTTTAACTGAGGGTTTCGTGTTTCATTGAATCACATACTTGTATATCCCTATTGTTGGACATTTGGTTTTTATTTCCACAGCTTTTAACCATTACAGATTTTATTGCCATAAAACAAATTTCTTCCATAATTTCCCACTATTCTTTTGAATTAATCCTTTCGGATCAATCCCCAGGAAGGGGATGACCAGGCTGACGTTTGTGGGGCTCTTGATATCCTTACTTTCACAGGACAGTGTTAGTTAACCAGCATGACCTACAATATAGGAACATTCCTATTTGCCTGCAGCCTTGCCAGCCCTGGGTCATTTGTTTTAGAGCAGGATTCATTATTTATTGACCTTTGTAGTTATAAAATGATTCTTTCTTGTCATTCTTATTTTTATAAAATTAAAGAATCTTATTCTTTAATTGCTTGGGAAATCGCCTGCTTTTCCCTGCTCGTAGAACCCTAGGAGTTGGGGTCTGGGTTGCTCTTGAGATGTCCGTGTTCCTCCCAGCAAGGCTCGTGGTCAGCAACGGTTATGTGCCCTCTCCTAGTAAGCTGTCACTGTCCACACCGCCAGTTGCACACTGGTGTCTTGCATGAGCTGCCATGCTTGCTCAGATCTGTGTATTCATAGTTTCTCTGTCTCCTCCTTCTCTTTCAAGCTGTCTCATGTTCTCAGGGTGCCTGTCTAGGGAGTGCTAGGGATTGCCAAGGCCCTGCTCAAACCATACATGCCCAGGGTCTGAGAGGGAGGACCTCCTGAGAGAGAAGGGCTTTTCGTGGGCTTTTGTGTTTGGACTTGGTGACCCCTGTTGGGCTGATCAGCAGCCTTTGGCTGCCCGGTCCTCATGGTGCCCTAATAGGTCAGTGGGTTTGCCCAGTGGGGAAACATGAGTATTAGTGCCCGCCTGTTCTGTTGAAATGGCAGGTTTTGTGGATGGGCCTACCCCAGTCCCATTGCCCCTCTTAGACACTGTGGTCTGATGCCAGGCATGCTCTGCTTTCTGCTAAAGTGACCAGTACTCAGAGGACATGCCCAGCCCCGATTTGAGTCCCTTTTAGCTGTTGTTACCCCATCCATGACCTCCTTAGCAGCAGCTGCCTCTGGTTCAGGGCTGTTGAAGGCAAGGATGGGAAGTATTCAGTTTTTCCATATAAGTTGACTTCTGTAGAGCGTAAAGATTGTTTTCAAAATCCCAGTAGATTAACTCATGTCATATGTGGAGCGTGCTCTGGAAAATGTAAGTCAGTCCTGGGAGGGTTGGACAGGCCTTCCATCCAGGCCCGTGACGGCTCTGGGGCCTCCCCGACTCCCAGCGAACAGAAGGCAAGAGCCTGGGAGAGTGGCCTGGCAGAGCACCCCCAGGGTGTCGCCAGTGCTTCCCAGTGCCCCCAGTTGAGTGTGGCTTCCTCGGCCTGAGCCGCTCCAGCAGCATTCTTCCCTAATCGCTGCCTACGCAGGTCGTCTCAGCACACGTTCACAAAAGAGTCAGAAAAGTGTTTCTAGCAGGCAGAGCAACCTGCGAGGAGGAAGATCAGCTGAGTGGGAAGGGGACTGATCCCGGGGATGCTGAGAGGAGAGCAGAAGAGGCTCAGACTGTTAGGTTTTGCTTTTCATCTTTAAGCTAAAGAGGTTTGGGATGCGAGAGGGGAGACATTTGGGAGGAGACAGGGAGCTCCAGGGAAGAGGTTTTGGGGCTGAGAAACCCTTGGGAAAAGCTATGTTAGGGGGAAAATGAACAAAACCTTGAGGAGAGCTGCCTGAGCATGGATGTGAGTGTCCCCAGCCTGGGTGTCCGGACTTGGACATTTACCCCAGTGGGCTCATCCGCCTCCCGCCTTTCCAGGACTCTGGGGGAGATTCTGAGGACCTTTGTGGCTATTCCTTTCTTTATCCAAAGGAGACCATGTCTTAACCTGGTCTCCTGCCCAGATCACACCGGCAAACGGAGTGGCTGATTACTGCCTCCCAAAGTCCTCACCCAGCCTGGGCCTTCACATCGGCGGCTCTGGGTGACAGGACACATCCCCATTATCATGAGATTCTTTTACACTTAGGCAGCATCCTATTTAAGGTAGGAAGGGTAGGGTGTGCCTGAGGCCACAGCTTCACAGGACCCAGCAGGGGCTGGAAGGGCAGAAAACCAGGGCCAGGCGGTGTTCTGTGTTTCAGAGGGGGACACTGTGGATTTGAACATTTGCACAGGGCTCCAGGCAGGTCTCTTACCGGTGCCAAGGTGTCCCTTCTCTATGATATAGAATATTCTATATCATGTTGATAGTTTTAATGCTTTTTTCCCCCTTTGTTCTTTTATCCGCCTACCTTCTACTGAATGCCTCTGTTACACAAGGTGTTGTGGAAGCAAAGATAACCTAGCTGGGGAGAGAGACAGGCAGCTAAAAACAGCGTGGTATGATTAGGGCTCGGATGTGAGTGCGGCTGAAGGGGATGTGTGAGCACCACCCACTACTTGGGGTGGCTTTGAACTTTCCTCATTGCACCAACTCAGGCTTTATAATGGGGAGACAGTGCAGTGAGAAAGCCACATGGTGGACTGGGGCTGAGAAGATCTGGCTCTAAATCCTATTTCTGTGACTGACTGTGTGACCTTGGGCAAGTCACTTGGCTCCCTTGGCGCCTCGGTTTCTCATTTGAAAAATCAGGACAGAAGTTCCATGTACCCCTCCGGGGGGATGTGAGTCTCAAGGGAGAGAATGCTTGGGGAAGCACATTGCACAGGCGGCAAACTTAGAGTAAACCCGGAATCAAATGCCCTTCCACCACTACCATGCCTGATATCGATATGGTGCATGGTATTTCCTTCCAGGACTTTACCAAGGGTCTCATAGCACTTGTCCAACTCTACAGCAAGATTCCGCCCTCCTGGGGGCAATAGGCTGGGTTTTTCCCTCATTCCTGTGTTGTTTTTTTCTTTCACTCTTTTTTTTTTTTTAAAGGTTTATTTACTCACTTGTGAGAGAGAGAGAGAGAGAGACAGAGTGCGTGAGCAGGGGGAGGGGCAGAAGGAGAGGGGAGGCAGACTCCCCGCTGAGCGCAGAGCCTGATGCAGGGCTTGATCCCACCACCCCGAGATCATGACCTAAGCCGAAATCAAGAGTTGGACGCTTAACCAACTGAGCCCCGCCAGGCTCCCCATCCTCATTCCTGTTTTGCAAGAAGAAAAGCTAGGCCCTGGGACTCTCCTGTGCCACACCCCCAGGGGACGGTTGGGTCTATAGGGAAGGATTGGAACCACCGTCTTGGCCCTTTGACCAGACTCAGGGTTACTCCTTCAGCAGCTAAGAGGGGCTCCAGTTTCTGGCACCTGCCCAGGTGGGGGTGCGGCAAAAGATGGCCTCACCCTTGAGACACATGGAAAAATAGTGCACCAGCCTCATCCCCAGCACTGAGGCAGACACTGTGGGCTACACCCAGCTGAGCGGCTCTAGCAGACGGCACATTCTCAGGCACCAGCTCACCGGCGCCTCTCTCAGGCTCTCTTCACCCCTTGAGCACCACTCCCCACTTTCTCTAAAGATTTACTCAGCATCTATTACGTGGTAGACACTAGACATAAAGATGAGGACCTGATTCACGGCTCCTGCCCTTGACAAGCTCATGCCCCAGCAGGAACAGAGGCTTCTGACATTATTCTGTCTGCCAAAGGGAACTATTTTTAACCCCATTTGACAGATGAACGAAGACTGAGGTGGAGAGTGACGTGCTAGGCAGTGACAGAACGAGCATGCCAGTAGGAGTGCCCGTCCCCTCCAAGGCAGGCCAGCGCTCAGGGACTTCCTGCCACATGCATGTCCTGCGCACGGCCCCGTCTCTGCACCTTTTGCTTGTGCTGTTTCCCTTGCTCCCTCTGTCCAGGCCCTCCCCGAGCCTCACCGCATCTCCAGCGCCTTCTCCCACACTAACCACATGTGACAAACAATAACATCACGGCGGAAGCCCCTGCTGGTGGAGTGCTGGCACGTTCCAGTCACCGGGCTGAATCCTTCCTTATTGCACCAACTCATTTGCTCTTCAGAATGATGTGAGCACCAGTCCCCGACAGACACTGCTGAGAGAGTTAGGGCAGCTCTTCTCCCATCACACGTTAGTCCGAAAGACAGCGTTGGACGACGGCCGGGGCCTGGACATGACCTCGACTGCACACTCCCCTGCTGGGAGACCTTGCACGGCCACTTCCCCTCCTGTGGGCCTCGGTTTCCTCATCTGTTATGGAGGAACTGCCAGGTGGTGATGGTCATAATGTGGGAGGGCAGCTGAGGGAGATGGCAGAGACTGCCCCCCTCCCCTCCCCCTTCCCTCGTGGGAGTTTACTGTTAACTTCTTATTATGGTGGATTTCAAACATATACAAAAGTAGAGAGAATAGTGTAAGGAACTCTTATATGCCCATCACCCAGCTTCAAATGATCAATGTTTTGCTAGTCTTGTTTTATATAAAACTCCCACTCTTCCACCTGCCCCCACTCCAACTGTTTGTTTGTTTGCTGGAATATTTTAGGGCAACTCTCAGACATCATGTCACTTTACATATAAATACTCTAGTGTGCATCTCTCACTGATGACAGTTTTTAAAAATGTGGCCTTCATATATCTATTACACCTAACAGAATTATCCAACCGGGCCTCGGGACCACCGAGGCTTTCTACACTCCAGTCCATAGTGATATTTTTCTGATAGACCAAAAGATATCTTCTTACGGCTGTTTTATTTGAATTAGCATCCAAATGAGGTCCATCTACTGCATCTGGTTCTTTTCTCTCTTCTGTCTCATTTCTCCTATAGCAGTTCTCCTTCCCCTTCTTTCTCGATGCTATTGATTTGTTGGAAAAACTAGGTCATTTGTCCCGTTGATTGTCTCACAGCCTGGATTTGGCTTATTCCCTCCTCATGCTGTTAGTAAACTTGTTCCTCTATGTCTTGCATTTCCTGTAAACTAATAGTTAGATCTAAATAAGATACTCTCCGTATTGGCACTGTTCAAGAGAAATATAATATGAACCATATATGTGATTTGAGATTTTCTACTAGCCACATTGAATCAGAAGTGAAAAGAAATAGGTGAACTAATTTTCATCATATTTTTTATTTAATCCAATATATACAAAATATTATTTTAACATGTAATCGATATAAAAACGATTAATGAGATATTTTACATTATTTTTTCCATATTCCATCTTCAAAACCCAGTGTGGTTTTTACACTTACAGCACATTTAGTTCATTCTCAGTGTCATGGTTAGCATGAAATACAATCCTATCAAAACAATAAAGTTGTGTTTGCAGGAAAATATTTTATACCACTTCAGTTTTTGAATTAAAATGACTTCAAAATGGGGTGCCTGGGTGGCTCAGTTGGTTAAGAAGCTGCCTTCGGCTCAGGTCATGATCCCAGGGTCCTGGGATCGAGCCCTGCATCGGGCTCCCTGCTCGGCGGGAAGCCTGTTTCTCCCTCTCCCACTCCCCCTGCTTGTGCTCTCTCTCTCTCTCTCTCTTTCTCTCTCTCAAATAAATAAATAAAATCTTAATAAATAAGATAAAATAACTTCAAATGAAATAAGATATAAAATTCAGTTCCTGGGTTGCACTAGCTATGTTTCAGATGCCCAATAGCCACGTGTGACTTGTGGCTATTCTGTTGGACAGTGTTCATAGAGCACATTGCCATCACTGCAGAAAGTTCTGTTGGATAGCACTGAGTGAGAGGCTTAAGCAGATGTACGCTTAAGTGAGATAACTTCATAGGTGTTGCTGTGTATTTGCCTGTGGTACCCATCATGTCCTGTGGCTCTGTTTTTCATGAGGCTGAGATTGATTAGTGGGGCCGTAGGTGCTTCTGGACATTTTTAAAGAAAGGAGAAAAAGGAAATTTTGGTACTCTTTGTTTAGGATGAACTAGGTGGCAGGTGATTCCCCCAAACTGGGACAGAAGCCATTCTGGCCATGTAAGAATCATCTGAGGACACTCAGTATGAGATAGTGGTTGAAAGTCATTATGCCTGGGTTTGAATCCTGACTGCCACTTACTAGCTCCATGACCTTGGGCAAGTCACTTAACCTCACTGAGCCTCTGTTTTTTTTCAGCTGTGAAATAGGAAAATACTAGGACTTAGCTCATAAGGTATTTTGACGGTTAAATGAGATAATGTGCCTAAAGTACGCATCATGCACAGAGTAAGTATTCAATGAATATGAATTACTGGTATTATGTTATTGTAAAAATACAGGTTCCAAGGCTTGGGGGCTGGAGAATCTAATTTGTTAGGGTCTGTGGTAGGACCTGGGATCTGCATTTTAAACAGGTTCTCCAGGTGATCCTGAGTTCTTGGACCCCCTAGCCCAGATCTCTTCCCAATATCTTTCCCTGGGATGACCCTTGGCTCTGTCCCAGTCCCAGAGAAGCACGTCCTGGCTGGATACCCTAGCATCCATCAGAGGACAAACAAGCTCAGTAGGGTTGTCAGATTTAGCAAATAAATATCCCCTATTTTATCTGGCAACCCCACATCTCTAATTCAGTTAAAAACTGTAAACCAGTATTTACGAGGGACGTTGTTTTTGCTCTCTGGGCCTCCATTCCCGCCATACCTACCAGAAGGTGCGAGAGTAGGGGTGTGTGAGGACAAAAGTAGCATTTTCAGGTTTTTAGATGGGTCTAGCATCCATGCCTAGATTCTCTTGAGCTTTGAGGAGGCCATCTTTTGTAAAATGAAAGAAAGGGCCTTAAGAGCCAACTTACTCAACCTGCTCATTTTGCAGGTAAGGAAACTAAGGTCTGCCAGGAGGGGTAAGTGAGTTGTCCAAGGTCAGTGGCAGGGCTGGACTAGAACCTAGGTCTCCAGTTTCTGGCGCAGCTTACGTTCCTCTTTGTCATCCCACAGCACTGACTTCTGTCCTCTGCCCGTTCGGTCATGGGGTGGGGAGAGATAACACCCAGGGTAACCCAGGACCCCTCTGGTGACTCCCCAAGAGCGGTTCCTACCCTTGTGATCCAAAGGGAAGAACACAGCGAATAGAAACAAAGTCAGTTCTTGGCGCTGGCTGGACCGAGCCCCGGAGATGGGTGAGGGGATCCCACTGTCTGTCCAGATGGTGGGGGTCAGGTTCAGGAGCTGCACCCATGGCCTGGCCTCTTAACACGCAGGGCTGACCGGACCCGCCCCCCTCCCCCACCGGTGTCTTGCAGAGTGTCGGGAGGAGAGCTCTTCGACTTCCTGGCCCAGAAGGAGTCGCTGAGTGAGGAGGAGGCCACCAGCTTCATCAAGCAGATCCTGGAGGGTGTGAACTACCTTCATGCCATGAAAATTGCTCACTTTGATCTCAAGGTCAGTGAGGGGATGAGGGAGAAGAATCATTTTAGGAAGAATGGGCCCAGTCACTTCTGACATCACTGCTAGGAGGGGCTCAGTGCCCATCTGGCCCTCCTCCCTTGTCTCGCCATGGAAAACGCTGAGCTCCTAGGAAAGAAATGACGCCACAGAAGGCGTCCCTCTCCTCAGTTTCATTTTGCAGATTGGGCTTTCTTCACACAGGGGCTGACTGCAAGAAGCTGCTTCTTCAGACCACAGGTACCTTATCTCTTTCAGGCAGCAGGTGGGGTGTCATTTTTAAATAGTAGACCACTGACAGGAAACATGAAACCAAACACATTTCACAAGGCTGGACTCTTCAGTAGCCAAGAACTAACTCATTAAGGAGGCAGAAGTGTTAGCGTTCGGGCGAGGACTGCTGAGGTTGGCTGGCTCTCTGGGCCCTGCACAGCCTCCAGCACCCCTGGCCCAGAGGCCATCGGTCTTGGAGCCTAGGGACCGCTGACTGCCGTCCCTGTTCCCATCCCCTGCTGTGGCCACAAAACTGCTTCCAAGGGGCACTGATCATTTGTGGTAACTGGTATTCAGGGTCGAGAAAGTTCACTGTGACCACATAGGACCTCAGAAAGCAAGAGTGTGGTCAAAGTAGAAGGATCAGTTCCCCTAGTAACTGAGCTCAGTTTAGTGGACTGATAAGCCTTTACAGACACCCGAAGCATAAAGATCCTCTAATCTGTGACCGGAGGGACCTATTTCCCGGGGTGAAGACCTACTCAGTTTTCTATCCAGAAATTCCTGTTGTGTTTTAAGCATTGTGCCACGTGCCTAGTTACTGCTACAGTTACAAAAACCAGCTGAGGCCCTGTCTGGGCTCAGTTCCTCTTTTCTAGGAAACCTAGTACAGGAGACAGAAAAAATCAACAACTCTAAGTGCTATGATAGAAGTACGTATAGGGGAGGGCGCCTGGGTGGCTCAGTTGGTTAAGCGACTGCCTTCGGCTCAGGTCATGATCCTGGAGTCCCAGGATCGAGTCCCGCGTCGGGCTCCCTGCTCAGCGGGGAGTCTGCTTCTCCCTCTGACCCTCTTCCCTCTCGTGCTCTCTCTCTCTCATTCTCTCTCTCTCTCAAATAAATAAATAAAATCTTTAAAAAAAAAAAAAGAAGTACATATAGGGGAGCTGGGGAGCTCAAAGGAGAGGGCATCTAAGTCAGACTGCAGTATCCGAGAGGGCTTCCTGGAAGAGGTGATATTTGAGTTGAATGTAGAAGGACTGGGAGGGGTTACCGGAGGGAAAGGGTCTTCTAAGAATGAGAGGCCAGCAGTTTACATGGTCTGGAAATGGCACAATGCATTCAGGGTCGTACAGGCAAAGGGTGGATGTTCCTAATGGCTGGAGAAACAAGCCAGGAGGAGAGCAGAAGGCAGACACAAGGGCGTGAGAGCCAAACCAAAGAGGTTGAACTTTACCTTGAGGGATACAGAGTCGTTGGGGAAGCAGGTGATCAGGGAGGTGAGGCGAGTGGATGTATGTTTCAGAAGGATCTCTCTGGCTGGAAGGCTGGGGAAAATGGGGACACCTGGAGGCTGGTGGCCCAGCTGGGAGGCTTGTGCAGTAATCTGGGTGAGGGTGTGGCCTGAGCGAGCCTTTGGATCTCAGAGTGGTAATGCACCAAGCAAGAAACGGTCTACCTGGATTGCACTTGTGTCTCCCTCCTGATAGTACTATGGACAGTTAACTTGTTTTCTGTGTCTTTTACTGGCTCCAGGAGCCTGGCCTCAAAGTGGGCTCCTTTGTCTTTTCTCAGCCAGACCTGGTAGAGAGGTAGGAGTTGTTGTAATCCCATAGGTACCATGACAGCCGCAGCTTCATGCTGTTTAATTTGCTTGTGTGGCCCCTGGGGGGTGGGGAGGGCCGGCTTGGAGGCGGCCGGGTCGGGGTTTGGTCTTCATTCTGCTGTATACTAGGACACAACTGAACCTCAGTCCTTCAGCTTCAACGCAGATCATAATCCCTACCTGGCACAGTTGTTGCAAGGGTTAGAGAGAAGCAGCATTACGTGCCGGCTCCCAGACAGCGCTCTGAAATAGTCCCCGCTATTGTTATTTCCCCTCCCAGAGTAGAGGAAAAGAAAACACAACTCTCGTGACAGGATTCTGGGTCCATTAGACTAGGAAGACAGGCCTGCTAGTGCAGTTCTCAGTTGCCCAACAGAGAGCTGAGATTGGTTGCTGCTGGGGCATGGCAGGCTCCTGGGCTCAGTCTGGCTGTTTTCCACGACCTGGAGACAGTCTGGGTTTGCCCCGGATGTGTGCGGGGCGAGGATACTGCTCACCCCCATCTTGGCCTCCTGTCCTTAGAGCTGTGCAGACTCTGAGCCTTCTCACCTCTCTGCCCCCATCCGTGGTCCCTTGGCACAGGCCCAGGTGAGCAACTTCAGGAAGTGATGAGTAGCTGCATTACCTCATGATGGGGTAGCCACTTCTTGGAGCTGGAATATGGGTATGCTTGCCCCTGGCTCGAACTTCCCCTCGGCTGGAAGGAATGATGGAGCAAGTCCAGCTGGTAGCTTAGAGGAGGGTTCTCGGTTCCAGGTCGTTTCCCATCATCTAAAAATCATTTTACACAAATATGTTTTTCTTCCTGATTTTCATTCTCTGTGAGGTGCCTCTGCTTTCCTCAACTCTTGTATTCTCTTGCTCCTCACCCAGTGAGTCAGGCTAGCCTTGCGGTCCCATGAACACAGCCTCCCTGTTGTCTCCAGGCCCCTACCCGTGACCTGCTGCTCTCCATGCTCATCTTCTGGCTTGAAGGAGCAGGTGATGGAGGAGGGGCAGCTCTCGCCTGCCTCTGGAATATACGAACGGCTTCTCCTGGGGCTGCTAGCTGATAAGCTCCTCCTGTGTTCAGTCACGGAGCTAGAGAGGTGAGGCCCTGTCCCGGCTTATGACACGCTCCCAGCCTTGTGGCAGAGAGCAATAAATGGACAAATTAACATATGATAAGCAGTCTTGGGAAAACAGATCGAGACAGTCTATGGCCCAGAAATCTGTGATGGGCCCTTGTCATCTGTAGGATAAATGAACCAACGGTCAGCATGGTGTTCAGGCCTTTTGTACACTGCCTCGGCCCTGATTCTGACCTCAGCCACCTTTCCCCGCTCCGAAACACTAGCCCCAGGCAACAAGAGGACAGATCCACATTCTGGCCTCTCTCCTCCTCTGTTCGTGCTGTTCCCACCCAGGAAGCCCCTGCTCTTCCTTTCCTCTGTCCATGGACTTCCTTCCTGCTCATCCTTCTAGGCCCAGCAGAAAGACCATTTTCTCTGGGAAGGCTTTACCATCCCTGCTACCTCCCAAAGCATAACTAAGAATGAACCTGCCTCCCTTTGCACAGCCTTCTGGTGAGAGTATCTGTTGCTCTCAGTCACTTTCTGCTGCTTATATCTAGCACCGTGCTGGACACATGAAGAGTTACTCAGTGTTGAATGAGTGAGTAAATGAAGGCATGAATGCCTTAGTAAGACCAGTGCATGCATGGAAGGCAAAGGCCCTTTCATGTCACCTGGAAAATGCAAAAGAGGTTACAGGCAGGTTTCAGTCCAGTGATGTGAACATTTTTTTTTTAAGATTTTTTATTTATTTATTTGACAGACACAGTGAGAGAGGGAACACAAGCAGTGGGAGTGGGAGAGGGAGAAGCAGGCTTCCCGCCGAGCAGGGAGCCCGATGCGGGGCTCGATCCCAGGACCACGGGATCGTGACCTGAGCCGAGGGCAGACACTTAACAACTGAGCCACCCAGGCGCCCCAATGTGAACATTTATTAAGGGACTATTGTATGCCCAGGAGTAGAGTGTCAAACACCAATGTGATATGGCACCTGCCTTCCAAGGGCCCACTGTCTACCAGGAGATGGCCATGGTGGGACTCGGTGGGGAGGCCACCTGAAATGAAAGCTAACCACGACTCTTGCCAACAAGAGCTCACTTCTGGGGGTAAGCGTTCTGCCTCAGCAGAGGGAATAGCATGCCAGTGTGCGTTGTAAATACACCCCAGAAAGGCCCATTGATGTGGGTGGTTGTGGGAGGTGAAGGTAGATGATGTTGCCCTGTATTTACGTGGATGGAAGGAACCCTGGGGCTGACTGCCCCCCCCCAGTACGAGGTAGCACCCAGTGTGCCTTCAGACATGGCATCTGCAGGCTGGATTACTAGGAAGTGGGTTTCAGTACCACCCAGGAACCTCACCCTGGTATGCCATTCCAATACAAATGAAGGCCTTGTAGAGGGCGGGTTTGTGTAGTTTTGTGTTTATTTTGTATTTGGGAGTTTCTCTTCTGAGTATGGGTGTGTCTTCCCTATACCCCAAACCCAACTGGAGAATTCAAAAATGGAAGGTCGTCCTCAGGTCTGACTGGTATTTTCAGCAAAAAGAACACGCTGTGAGGATTAAATGAAATTATATGCAAGCCAGGAACCCAGAACTCTCATGGTGGGGCCTTTTGGTTTATATAAATAGTATTAAGAGGTGAATTTCTTTTTTTAAAAATATTTATTGTTATGTTAATCACCATACATCATTAGTTTTTGATGTAGTGTTCCATGATTCATTGTTTGTGAAGAGGTGAATGTCTGAACAAAGTGCCCCCAAGATCCAAATTCCTCTATGCCCTGATCGTCCTTTGAGTTATTTTTATGTTCGTGACATGATGGGGTCTGCTTGTCAAGATTTCACAGAAATGATACTAATAATACTTTGAATGTTTATGGCACTTTCTGGAATAGAGTATGCTTACACATTTGTTCTCTCATTTGATCCTCATGGCTACTCATGGAGGTACAAGGTATTGTCCTTTTTTTACACACAAGGCAATTGAGATTCAGAGAGGTTAAGTAACTTGTCCAAGATCACGCAGGTATTAAATGACAGAGCTGGGGCTTAAACTTAGCCAGTGAGGAAACACGAAGCCAGCTGGGTGCCACCAGCTTTTCTTTCCCCAGATTCTGACAGTTGTA